AAATATGTTATTACGTAGCAACAACAGAATGTTAGCTGTGTTTACATAGTGATAACAGAATGTTATTAACATAACAAGTTGCAGAATCGATCTATAAATTGAAATAATGTTTTCTGGTCCTTTTTCTTGTTAAAATAACTTTTAAACAACGAGATTCGACGGCAAAATATTCTTTAAGCGAGAAGTTGCGTAGGATTATATCGTGTTAATCATGTATAATTTCAGATAATTTTTCTAATTGATTTCCTTCGATTAAGATTAAGAGATTTTTTTCAGAATTTAATAGTACTGACTGAATATTGTTGACGCGATTCAGAAACAGGGCTGTTAATTTACGATTTAGGAACAATACATACTGAATGCATATTGTAGAGGTTTTCATTTTTTCTTTTTCTATGACCATCATTTACGACGTTCCTTACATGGAGCTTGTCAGATATGCTGTATCTACACTTAGTGGATAATTTATTACAAAAAAGAAATATCGGAGCTGTTAAAGATGTTTTAACATTTAACTTTTCATTAGACAATTTAAATTTTGTTGATTTAATTGAAGCTTTTATACTTAATTGTTAATAATAAGAATACAATTTTACCGTATTTTTGTGGCACTAAGTTGAAACAAATATGTACCTAGTATAGAATAAATAAAAATAATACATAAGTATACTGGAAAAATATAACTCTTTCAGTTACAAGTTGCATAAAAAAAATTCAAGCAAAGTTACATTTTTTTTTAACTTTCATAATACAAAGTGTTAAAATAAATTGTCAAAAGTGTAGACCTCAACTAATATTTATTAAAAAAAACCTGCAGTTGACGAAACTCTGAAATTTTACATAAAAAGCACAAGGATGTCAAATTTTTTCTTTGGGTTTAATATCTAATATAAAAAAAAGTTGATACTTTGACCATAGATAATTACGTTATTTCTCCATTAACTTTTTATTTAAAAAATTTTAAGGTAATTTTACAATTTTTCAAAAATATTATCGGTATGTACCTATATGACACGATTTTTTTTTAAACGCAAAAAAAAAATATTTTACATTTTTTATATTTTCAACTATACCTACTTGTGTTGTACTAAAAAGATTTTTCGTTAAATTTAAAACTTTCGGCTTGCGTTGTATCCAGCAGATTTCAAAAAAGCACATTACGTTTAAAGATTCAGTTCGACCATTTTTAAAAACGGAAATTTGGAATTTTGCACGTAACTTTTTAAACACCTTGCCTTAACGCACCAATAAAAACTGCACCAGGTGTGAGCTTATTTATACAGGATGTATAAATTTGCAAATTTTCAGTTTTCTGACGTCTACTCTATTTTTAAACTGGAACAACAGCTATTTATTTTACAATATTTTAGAACTTTTCTCTTGTAGTAAGCTTTCTTTCGATGATATATTGTGATTTACGCTAATAATAATTTTTAAAAAATCTTAAGCTAAAATCCACAAATTTCACACCAAAAGAAAGCTGTCTAGAGATTAGCTCCTAAATGTTATACAATATTCTATTTGAAAAATATGAGAAAACTGTCAATTTGGAAATTTGGAAGCGCCTTCTTGTATAAGAAAGTTAAAACACACTTCAATATGGTGTAAAACACCAAACTCCCATCTCTAAATATGGCAGAAGTAATTATTTTTTAAAAATGACTATTTTGTAACATAAAAATGCAAATATGTTAAAAATTTTGGTTCAAAAAATATGTTTACGTTTACGACTGTGACTTCATAAGATTTTGCAGTGGATATCCCTCTTAAATAATTTTTAGAAATTTGTTACTTTTAAAATATCACAATTCACTATCGTGAATAATTCATAAAAAATTACCTCAATTTGAGTAGCAATTAGGTTATAACGGAACTATATTTGGTAAGCTTTTTTTTTCTTTACTCTAAACAACCTCATTAGAATAAATTACAGGGTAAGACTTTTTTGCAACAAAAACTGTTCGATATACGACGAATTTTTTTAGAAGGAAACAATATACCTACCTACCTACCTAATTAATTTTCTTTAATTATTATCGTCTAGTTTAAAGTCTATGATTTAATTCTCAAAAATATCGTGTTTTTTTATTTAATTTGTAAAGGCAAAAATTATAAGAATTTAATTTTGTTACAGAGATATGTAAAAAAAATTTGAACATTCAAATCTTCCAAAAACAAAACAGTGTAGAGTAGACTACTAAGGCTAATTTAGTCTCTTTAAAAAACAAAACCCCTGGAGGCACCTAACATTCTATTAAATTCTTTGAAAATATAAGACAGAACCAAAAATTCCTCCAATTATTGTCCCCAAAATTTTTTAAGGAAACAAAACACCAGAAACCTTAAAAGTTATTTTGTTCTCATTCATAAACAATAGTTTTCTAAATTATTTCAAAAACCAAAAATTGCGGGCCCTCAAGATTCTTTTAAATTATTTCAAACAAAAAAAAAAAGAAAAATGCCAGGGACAACAGGATTTTTAAAAAGGAACCAACTGAAGCCTCAATTTTGTTTAAGATTCTTTCTAAAACAGAACACCAAAATCCCCCACAATGTTTTCAAATTCGTTCAAAAAGAAAATAGCATAAATCCCAAGATTCTTTTAAATTCTTTCAAAGAGGAAGACCAAAATTTTCTCAGATGCAAACCACCAGAGTTTCTCAACGTTCTTTTATTCTCAGTAAACAACAACAATACTCTTCTAAATTCTGTCAAAAACAAAGATTATGGGTCATCAATTTTTTTTAAAAAAGAAGCAGTAGGAGCCCCATTTTTTTAACAAAACAGCTTCTAAATTCTGTCAAAAACAAAGTTTATGGGTCATCAAATTTTTTTAAAAAAGAAGCAGTAGGAGCCCCATTTTTTTAACAAAACAGCACAAAATCACCAAGGTACTTTTAATCTCTTTTAAAAACAAAACGCAAAATGCACCTAAGATTCTTCTAAATTCTTTCAAAGAATAAAAGACAACTCAAAATTCGTACAATTTAAAAAAAACGCATGGTCCCCAAAATTCTTTCAGAAACAAAACACCATAGACCTTCAAAGTTCTTTTACTCCATTCAAAATCAATATTTTTTCGAAATTCTTTCGAAAACAAAAATTGGGGATCCTTAAGACGCTAAATTATTTCAAACAAAAAAACGCAAGATTTTCTAAAAAGGAAGCAGCTGGAATCTTCAATTTTGTTTCAAATTCTTTCAAAAAGGAAGGCATAGCACCCAAAATTCGCTCAGAAGCAAAACACTAGAATTTCTCGAGATACTTTTAGAGCTATAAAAGCTTGATTATAATTAATAAAGTACCGTCGAATTTATATTTGTTTTATTGTTGTTATTTTCTCTTCTTTACAACAAATCTTATTGATGTTGTAGAACATTTAAGCCCTATTAATCTTGTATAAATTAGTAATTCAATTTAATACTGTTGCTGTAAATTTTGACAATCACAAATTTTTTAATTAAAAAGAATTTTTTTCAGATCCTATAGGCTTCGAGTAGGTATACAGTAGAGAAACCTACTACATATATACTTAGAATATTTAATTGTTTTTATATAAAAAATATATAACTGTGGGCCTGGCAAGTCCCACAAAATTGTATAGTATTTGTATACCTATAATCTGTATTTAATTACTTCCAACCAGTATCACCCTGAAACATTCTCTTTGTTCACCTGCATGTCGTAAAACCTTTTCAGTAATACCTACTTATCCTTCCTAGATTTCGAGTATGTACCTTCCTAGAACTCTTTTGATACAACCGTTTTCACCGTTTTCTACCGACCTTTCTTTTCATTTCAAATTCACAAACTCCAGGACTCTCCCCTCATCTGCCGAACCGACAACACCAAAATAAATACGTCAAAACGCAAGTACTGTTTCAATCACCTAATCACCCCTCATAACTTTGTAAATTTGCTAAAATCCGTTTATATTTTTTAGTCTTCTGTCTGTGGAATTTTATAATGTATTATAATTACTTTATCTGCAATAGTACTTTATCAGTGAACAGGCACTCAAAATAATATGGTTAAAAAAATAATCTTCTGCAATCACTTATAGACGCAAAAATTATCTTACAGATTAAATAAAAAAAATCGACTTTGTAAGATTATAAAATGCATGCTTAATCATTGTCGTCTGTCTTATAATTTTTACAGGCAGATTTTAAGCTATTTCACTTTAATTTTTCGGTATATACCAAAAATTACTGTGGGCACATATTTACCAAGTCCTATAATTTCTGTAATTAAAATCTGAGTTTTATTTTAATGTCACCCTGTATAGCTCACCTAGAACTGAGAATTGTATATTATCTAAACCTTGGTGGAAACTACTGATCCTCTGAAAACAAATATAAACTTAAATTATTTTGTATGTTTTTGGTGAAAAGTATATATAAGTATATGTTAAATTTAAGATTATTTTCTTGTTTGTTTTAGTTTTTTGCTTTGTCCTGCTCTATCATATTTTACAATTTGTTATCTCAATAACATCATAGTTGCTATCATGTCACCAATTTATCAGCGTCATTCATTTTTAGAAAACCGTATAAATTAATGATGCACATGAAGCTTATCGATAATATATGTCATTCAAAAATTGCAAGGATAAAGATTAAAGATATTATTCATCAATCATCATATTGTCAGCTAATCATTTTTATATGATCTCCGGGTCAACAGGTCTGGATAGACCTCCGATAAGAAAACCACTTGCAAAAATCTAGTACATGTCATTTATTTATCAACCGTCACACTTCATCCATCTACAAATATCCAGAATTCCCCCAGAAATGACATAATAGCACTATCACCCAACCGTCCCAACCATGTGTACTAGAACTAGATATCCTCGTTTACATATACACACACGAGCCTAGGTGTGACATCCACGTACTTGTAATTTTTATCGCTGATAAGATAAGCCGACGTGTAGGCACTTGTCCCGATAACGCAAAAAAGCACCAGCACTAATTCCCTGATCCCTGCACGAACCCATCCCTCCCTGAGCGCTCCCATCCGGACCCATTCCAATTTCCATCTCCAAGTCCGAACGCAGCGGCGAATTTTACCATGACGTTGTGGGACGAGACTCGGTTATTGATTACCTGCCGACCATTTTGTGATTCCGGGCCCCGTGCTATCAACAAAATGGACCAATTGGGGAGCAGAACACGCAAACGCGGTGGGCGTGGCGGCGGGGGATCGAACAAAAACTAATCGCCGGACCGAGTTCTCCCGACGGCTGCCGCGATACCATCAGTCGGTCCGAAACGCTCGCTGTTCGTGGATGTGCTTGTGCGAAAACAGTTGCGGTCAACTCCGGATGAACCGATTGTAAGAGGTCGCGCTCGGTGCGGACTGTGCCGGTTGTACTTCTGGTGGACGGTTCTTTGACGTGCAGTTCGTATGGTGATGTCAGAGCAAGGCGGACTGGCCATGCACCAGTTACCGATGCACCACAGGGGTTTGGTGCAGCCGAGCCTTGTGATGAACCCGCATCCTATCAACAATTCTTGCTCGATGGACTCGCAAAACAGTAAGTCCAGTAAGAAGATTGTTTGGGGGTGGGACATAGGAAGAGGGTTCAATTAGCATTGTCTTATGTGTGTACTATAGTACATAACTATATTGTTTTTACTACCGTGTAAACTATCAAATTTATGTTTGGAAATTTTGTGAACAAATAATACAAAATTTTTGGCAACCATTTGTCGACCAGTGATACTACGGCATCTGTTATTTAAATCTGTGGGTTTTGTTGTATAGTGTGTTTGTTGTCAACTTCCAAATATTCTTTAGAAGTACCATATAAACTCAGACAATTTGTCAAAATGTCATTCTTAAAATTCTTATGGCACTGTATGCTATATAAAGTGTACTATTAAAAATCACATTTTAACAAATGCAGTAAAAAAAAATACTGATGTGTTGTAACTGCTAGTATAGTTTTGGAAATTTCATTCTACCCTATAAAATTTTATTGAGAACAACGAGACAGACAGTAGTACACCCGAATTAGTCGGAGAACACTAGCAGGTAGTTGTACTAGATAATGGTCATTTTCATTCGTGAGTAACGATGGTTCCTGTCCGGACCTGGATTATTCTGCTTTCTAACATCTGGGGATTACCGGCACTCGACAACTTGAGTTTTAAATATCTCTTGCTATTGTACTACTGTCCGTGTCGTTATTGCAAATAAAATTTTATAGGGTAGAATGAAATTTCCAAAACTATACCTACTGTAAATGAATTAGATACAGCCTTTGCCATATTTTTTTCAACATTTTCAGTCCTGTAATTTTTCATCTCACAAAATTTAGGAAATCATTCCATTATTAATAATTATCACTGAAAAATATTCTACCTTAACACATACCCAGTTATTATTATCAATGATTTAAATGCAAAAAATATTTTTTTAAGAAAAAAAATTCCCATTCGTAATTGAATGGATTTAGTTTAAAACTAACAAATAAGTCAAAAATTAAATAGTTTATGTCTGCGGCTCTTTACTTATGAAATTTAACACCTAACCCTCGTCCTTGACGCTTTAAAAAAATAAATAAATAAAATTATAAGCTCACAAATAAGTCAGTACTTAATTATTTCTAAAAGTTGGAAATAGAATCTAAAAAGGAACTACTGATACCTATACTAATAACACTATGACAACTTCGACTAAAAAGTCAAAAATTCTGATTCTAGTTCCAATCATTCTGTAAGGATTTTTTAAAAAACGAGTCATTCGAATATTATTATTGAAGCCAAAAGCGGCGTTAGATATTTGAACTACCACTTACATAGCTACTCGCAAACTTCAGATCGGCCGAAAAAGTTCTTCTTTATGGCCTTGATACACAAATAACTATTAGTAGAAATTACAATATCACAACACACGCAATATTCACAACATTGTAGTTAGATAAGTCAAAAATCAGGAAAGTTATGCTATAAAATTTTTCAACATCCTACCTCTATCCATGAAAATACTAAAAATTTATTTATTACATCAGACTGCACTTAGTCCTCAATGGGTTTTGCTGCACAGTGTTTATTTGTTGTCAGCTTCACAATACTCTTTAGACATACCAGATAAACATACCGAATACTGTCATTGTTAAAGTTCTTACCATACTTTATATTACACGTTCGCATGAGGCATACTACTATACAAGGTATCGTTTTTATCGAATACCATACAGGTATATCCTTTCCAGCAAATACCATACCCTCTTCACGAAATTCTTCCCCCTTTTTTTGTCTGTAACTATAGTCTTTTACCTTGTTCCAGTCACTATTTCGTCCCTTCCCACGTTCACTACTCCATCAACCCATGTTTTTCTGGACCTTCCTCTATCCTTTTTCTTTGTTGCAGTTTTCCATACTGCTTTTGCTATTTTATACTTTTCACTATTTTTTCTTCTATTGATTCTAGTCATAACGTTTCCCTTATGTCCCATTTTGTTTACCTCAAATTGATGTAAATTCATCCAAAACGTAACATTTTACAACATTCAATCAAAAAAATATATTGGGTCACCACTAATACATTAAATAAATTATTATAACGCTGGTATTAAAGGACCTCAGTATTTGCCATATTTTTTTCAAAATTTTCATTCCAGTATCTTTTCACCCATGTCGCTTTTGTTGTTTGCTACATTATCAAACCTACTTTCCAGCATCATTAATTTTATTAGCAAAAAATTGCTTAGGTACCTACTTTAAAAATCACATTATTTTGTTATTTTCTGAGTACCTTGGAAATTATATTATTACGAATTTCTTTAGTAAATTCCAAAAATTGACTAACCTATTCGATAAGAAATGTTTTCTAATAATTAATAACAGTAGAAAGTAATTTTAATCCGTCACGAAATTTTTTAATTTTCTGATAGGTATATTTTATAGAATGACCATCTTTCAATAACATTATTTACAATTTTTTTGTCATATAATTCTCCATTAAAATTGTGCAGTAGTGATTGAATCACCCTGTATATCTTAATTGATTCTCTTAGTATTTTTAAATACACTTGAATACTAATTTTGATTAATAACTGACAGTTTTTTATATGATATACAAAACATATGATTTTTTAATTAAAAAACTGTCATTTAAAAAAAACATTGTTTGACAATAAGTTAGAACTACTAAGTACGATGGTTTCGCCTGAAAAATTTAAAAATCAAAATGAAAGAAAATGAAAAAAAGAATATATTTTAAAAAATGGGCAGTCTATTTTTTAAAACCACCACAAACTCTAAAAAAATATTTCTTATTTTTGTGCCCTTTTATTAATGATTAAATATGATATTGTAATTTTAAAATTAATATCGGGTGTTCAGTTGAAAAAAGTTGTCAAGTTGGCTTTGATATTTGTAAACATCGTGAAACATTCTACAATAAATCTAAAATTTAATCAGTGACAGCTGACAACGGGGAAATGTCAACTATACAAAACAGTGTGGATTAATACAACACATGCGTTTTTCGCTACGTCTTCCTTTACCATCAGCAATCAACTTCGTAAGAACAGACCTAAAGCATCTGTAGTAATAATTTGAGTTTTATTTTATTATTATTCTTTCGATTTATATTGATAACTATTTTAAAAGTCGCGATCATGCTTAGAGACAATTTTTAATAATAAAAAAATGTGTATGCAACCAAGGTAAATTTATTGCTTTTGCCATCACCAATCCGACGCCTACGCGACATGCCGATTGAACAAATTTTACACGCTTTTTTACACGGAATTCAACAATTTGTTTCTCTTTGATTTATCCTACAAACAAAAAATAATCACCATGCATGATGGCTTGTAGTTCTTATAATTAAAACACTTGACTCACTGAGAAGTCACGCTATATAAACTTAAGATTTATAACTCTTGTCCTAATAATAATTTTTACTTATCATTATTAGTATTATTATTATTACTTGCTTATTTTAGGAATATAATACTGAAAACAAAACTACGTTTTTTAAAAATATGTAGATAATTGTGCTTCTCGTATGAAGTTCAAACGGTGACGATGCTGGAAAAAATGTAAATTGCAGTGATGGTTAATTACTCGGTATGTCAGTAGTGATAGTTTTGGTTTCAACACTGCTCGATGATGTCACACACCACTCAAATTAGACCAATAAGTATCCAGTACTTTTCGTGAATCTTGAAAATTCAATATTTGTGCAAATTTTGACCCTAATATTTTAGCTGAGTAGATAAGAGAAAGGTCACGCATACAGGGTGAACTTTTTTTTTATTTTTGAACACTCTTGCAACACTGAAATTTTTTTATCAATAATTATTTACAGTGGATAAGAAACATATTTAAATTAAGAACTAATTTGTTGACTGTTTATATAAATTGTACTTTTGCTAAATTCCAAAAGGGTCAATGACAGGAGTCAGACTCTGTATTACTTTGTACTTAAAATTTGTGTTCACACATTTTTCTTTTGTAAACAAATTTTAATCTTTATGTAGCACAATATATTATTTTTTCATATTTATTTTCACGCTTTCTACCAAAGTGTCCCATTTCCATATAAAGTTTAATTAAATTTTTTGTATTTCGCGGCAATTTTTCACTAATCGACACTCGGGGCTCCAATGGGTGAAAAATACTAATAAGAATAAGTTTATTAATTTACCCAAATATACACATATTTTTCTAAAAGATGTTAAAAGTATGTGTAAATATTGCCCAATATGGTTTAACTTACAAAAGTTGTCATTTAAAAAAATACGTTTTGTTTTATTAAAATTTTTTAGTACAGTAGAAAAGTTAAAGATGTGTTCCCTCGAATAAATGTGTAGGTATTCTTGACGTTTCTGATAAACTTAATGAGATTCCTGTGTACCTACATACAGAATTAATACATTTTGTGTTACAAATAAGTGACACATAACCTAAAAAAATTATTAAAGAAATCCTTGTGAAAAAATATTCTCTGAATGCATGCGTGCTTCAAACCCGACGGAAATTCAATGTAAATAAATTTTTTTCTTCATCCTTTTATTACCACAATTTGCTAGTTTTCAAGATTTTGTTAAGTAGTAATTACAAGTCGCTGGTCATTTACAGTAGACCTAATTAAATATGCACAAAAATATAGACGTTTGTAATTAAAGTTATTCCCTGTTACTTTTATTATCGTTAGGTATCTATGCTTTCATTTTTCAATTAATTTTATTTATTTTTACAATTATCACCATCAGTTTAACAATTACTTTAAAACATATTGAGTTAACGCTCATTACATATCATCACAACAAATGATTTTCGAATAATATTTTGAGTTAAGCGATGAAAGTTGAAGAACTGGTTAATATGATTTTGAAAATAAGAAAACAACTATTTTGACATTCATTTAACACCACACCGAAAAATATTTAGATCCGGTTTACAGAAGCGCCATTAATTTAATCACTCAGTAAATCGATCACGTGTCCAAATTCAACCAATCAACCTCCCAAACGCGAGGGTTAATACCAATCATCCAGTATTTAATCACTTACTATAA